GAATACATCTTACCTGGTCTACCATGATTTCTATGTGTTGAATTAAATGAGGATATATCGACAGGTTGCTGACTTAGATGACCAGAAGGAGTATGGGATAGTGTATGATTTGTACGAATAATAGGTATTACCGCCGAGACATTAGCATTAAGCGGTCTAACAGATACTCGCGATAATCCTGGAGATCGTGAACATGACAAACTCAACGTTGTCACTCTGAGACCCCTTGGACGAGCTGGCATTGAGGTGGAAGTGAGGAGATAAAAAAACAAATGACTGAACAAGACGTCTGACACTGCTCTCACGTGAATCCCGAGTTGCCTCCGGGTTTTCCGAGTCCGTCACTGAGCCGTCCCCGCATCGTCCCGAACGACTCCACCCAGGCAGGCGGGCATGAATGACGATCTTGACAACGAACAATTTATTCTTTTACTCCTCTCTGACGGAAATCTACCAACAGGAGCTTTTGTAGCTTCATCTGGTTTGGAGTCGTACGCAAAACATGGGTTTCCCGTGAACTCTTCCGAATCTGTAATGGATTATGTTTGCTATAACCTCGAATCTTATGCTCATAGTGCACTTGCTTTCGTCAACGATACTTATGACTATATTTCAGAAGCTTTGAAGAATAGCAGCTTCGAACCCTGTTATGAACCCATATTGCAACTCGATGGTTTATATCATGCAATGACATTGAACCCTGTTACCAGGCGGGCGTCGAAAGCGCAAGGAGTAGCTTTATTGACGTTACTATCGAAGGGATTTATGCCGCCGAATTGGATGAAAGCCCAACAAACAGATGCACAAGTTTTAGCTTTCGAGTTCGTGGACAAGCTAAAGTTGGAAATCCGTCGCGATGCTACACCTGGCCATCTACCTATTTGTTGGGGTATATTGTCTGCTATCTTGGGATTATCAAAAGGTTAGGATTACATATTATATCTTCTTTACAATTTCCTTCTCTTATTCCCTTCTTGTGTGCACCAGAACGCAGTCAGCACCTCCATCTATTCCTTTATGCTAGAGGGTTATTATCATCCGCAATTAGAATGAACCTTATTGGTCCTTATGCAGCTCAACAGCTTCTTTTATATGCGGTTAGACCTATTGTAGACCTTCAATTAGAAAAGTGCCGTCTCAAAACGTCGCAAAATATTCTCAGGGACTCCTTGGATTCGGCATCTGACGGTCCGATAAATACCTGGCCACTAGGCGAGATTCTCGCAGCACGACATGACTTGCAACATTCGAAAATATTTAACAGCTAGAGTTCCAATCTATTGCGCAGCTATGATAACCAATACTTCAAGACTTGTGCATTTCATTTCCTTACAAACAACTTCGTACTTCACCTTCTATATGGAAGAGCGGAACTGTTGTCATTGGCGAATGTTAAGAACCCCTAATATACTTGATCATAGATGGTTCTCATAATTGGCTTTCATGGGAGTTAGTCTTACCAATTGGGTTTTAGAGTCATGTTAGAGATGATTATCAATGGCTCCGAACCATTGCGGAGCTAAACCCCAACCAATTTTCTCTGGGGCAATTTCTCGGTCTTGACTTACTAAGAACACTGCTAAAAGAATAAGAGGGATGGGGAAATATCTATTATGTAACATTTTACAACATCGTGGTTAAATATTCTTTCCGTTCGTCACTAGTTAAATACACTAAACAATCGAGCTACTCACATCTACTCACTCGTTTAGAAATGTCGTTGACCACCAAGCAATACAAAGTCCGTAAAGTAGGTATTGCATTCATAAAGGCATTTTGTTATCATAATGACTGTGCCATATTAGGGAGCTGGTTTCGATGGTTTGACCATAACACAAACCGAAGTTCCCGAACCTGGTCCCGGAGAAGTTCTTGTCATTGTGCACGCTGTGTCATTGCAATATAGGGATCTCATTATTGCAGAAGGGACTTATCCCCTGCCGTGAGTCAATGATTTCCCTTTGGGGAACGATCTCATTTGTCTTAAATACCCGGCCCATGATATTAGATGCAAAGACGAACTCGTACCATGCTCGGACGCCGCTTGTGAGATTGTCAAGGTCGGACCGCACGTCAGCAAGTGGAAAGTCGGTGACCGTGTCTGTGCCAATTTTGAATTGGATCGTCTGACTGGTGAAAGCACACCTGAATCTATCGCCACGTCCCTCGGAGGTGCTGTTGATGGCGTGTTAACTCAATACAGGATTTTCCCTGTCTATGTAAGATACTCCGGACTTGTAAAATTTCACGATTGAATGACCCCACATCAGAGTTTGGTAGCGATTCCAGAGCACCTCAGCTACGAGGAAGCATCTACCTTGCCGTGAGTAATCCCCATTCTCTTCCAAAAATATATCCACAACTTCTTCGTAGCTGTGCCGCCTTAACCGCATATAATGCACTTATGGGACCTGAAAAGTTGAAAGGAGGCGATGTCGTTTTAGTCCAGGGTACCGGTGGTGTCTCCATGTATGCGAACTTTTTGCTATTTTCTACCATCCTCCTGTCTCATCGGAATTAGTTTTGCCCTCCAGTTTGCCGTTGCCTCCGGTGCAGCGGTCATTGCAACATCATCAAGCAACGAGAAATTACAGATTGCAAAGAAGTTGGGAGCGAAACACACTATCAATTATAGGGAGAATCCAAACTGGGATGAAGAAGTCCTAAAAATTGTGCGTACTGATTTGGTTTTTTTTAGCACATTTAACTAAGTGGTAAGAATTTTAGACCGATGGTAGAGGTGTTGATCATGTAATTGAGGTAAAAGCGTCATTAACCTGAAAGAGTATGAGTTTATATATAAATGCACTAGGTCGGAGGTCCCAATACAATGAGACGATCGCTGAATTCCATACGGTCTGGTGGTTGGGTCCACTCCATCGGATTCGTTTCAGCGGCAGTAAGTCAAAGGAAGCCAATCACTACCATTTAAAAGCCATATTTACCATTACTTAACAGGAAGGTGAAGATTTGGGAAATATTCCCTTGTTGTTATTAGGTAAAAATGGTTACCTTCGGGGCGTTTTGATTGGCGCAGTTACTCAGTACGCACTAATACTCCTCACATGATCCTCGAAAGTCCGGGCTGATCCTGTAAATAGATTCGAGGATATGAATCGCCTGATTGCTGTTTCTGGACTCCGTCCCGTTGTCGACAAAGTTTTCCCTTTTGCTCAGGCGAGAGAGGCTTATGATTACCTTAAGAGTCAAAAACATGTCGGAAAAGTTGTTATTAAAGTACCTACCGATGATTAAATTAGATGTCTTTCCATATTCCAATCATTATGACGGTGTTTTACGGAAAGCCGTTGCGCCTTTGCCACTTTTAGTGCACAGTAATTGAAGAATATCAATATCTCCTCCGAGTCATTGCCGTCAAACACTGTTCCTTTAGAAGAAGACACAAAGCTATTCAGTGGATGCGTTCTCCTTGCTATGAGACTCATCACCAGAGGGACCACGTTCACTTGTCAGGACCTTGCTTTTTCAAATATTAATATCTGACGTATATTGTGGCTTTATTACAAAAGAAAAAAAGAGAACTTGAGATCTGGGATGATGAATTATTACCTGTTGGCGACATCATCCATCTCCCAGGACAATTATAACAGAGCCCTAGTCTTGAAGCGTACGTTGTGAGATTTCCTTCATGATTCCCTTGAACTACAATACCACTTAAACCCTCGTGTTTGTAATCGAGGTATCAGGGAATTTGACGGCTTATTACAAATGGTCAATAATCAGATTAAGCTCGGTACTCACGCTGCTTCGTCATCATTTATAACGGACTATGAAATCTTCCGGAATGCGTGACGACAGAAATCAAACACTCTCACCCAGACTATAACAATGGCAGGACTCAACATTGCCAATGTAAGTCGTTTTTCTAAACTAATTATCTATGTCTTCATCGAAATCATAGCACACCCTTCCGCCTTTACCTTACCCATATAATGCGCTCGAACCACACATCTCTCAAGAGATTATGACACTTCACCATACTAAGCACCACCAGACCTATGTTAATGGTCTCAACTCGGCTGAAAGCGCCTACGCTCAGACTACATCCCCCAAAGAGCGCATCGCACTTCAAGCAGCTCTTAAATTCAATGGTGGAGGTGAGCTGATTCGTATTTAGATCTCCAATCAACGCTTGATCGGTAATCGTTATCGTAGGTCATATCAATCACTCGCTTTTCTGGAAGAATTTGGCTCCGGTTAGTGCCGGTGGTGGTAAAATCCACGACGGTCCTCTTAAAACTGCTTTGGAGCGCGATTTTGGAAGCGTTGAGGAGTTCAAAAAGGCCTTGAACGCTGCTTCCGCAGCTATTCAGGGTAGTGGATGGGGTTGGTTGGTCCGTGCCACATTCTTATTAGCCTTATCGATGGAGCATTACGAATTAAAATTTCATCTAGGGATACAGCGTTTCGGCTAAGAAATTAGAGATCATCACGACTCCCAATCAAGACCCATTGTTGAGTGAGCCGTGACCCGCAATTGCTCTATTCTCACTCACTGACTCATTACTTGTTGCAAAAAGGTCACGTTCCTCTTATTGGTATTGACATGTGGGAACATGCTTTCTACTTGCAATACAAGAACGTCAAGCCTGATGTATGCTATCTTACCGCCTAAACACAATAACCACAGCGCAAACTAATGATGTTTTTAGTACCTTCAAGCTATATGGCACGTTATCAACTTCCAGGAGGCCGAGAAACGTTACATTGAAGCTACTGGTAACTCTAAGCTTTGAATTTAAGAAACGAGATAAAGTTATGTTGATTATATATGCTTTTGAAATTAAATTGGCAATTGTTTCCCCAACTATCTATAAAAAAGGGGACTCAGAATAACTAAACAAATATTACATGCTTGTAACTTTTTTTGCACAAATAAATAAATTGAAATGTTTTTGTTCCATTAACTTCAAAGGGAAAGGAAGGACATGAGACCACAAGAGTTGAACTTGCGATAATAATTTAGAGCGAGTAAAAACTGATCCGGGCCGGACTTGAACCGACGACCTTCTGCGTGTTAAGCAGACGTTCCACCAACTGAACTACCGAACCTGCTACACCGGTTGTCTGCAACGAGCTGTCATCATATTTTGACAAAATCACCTTGCTTGCAAAGGTCGCTCCAACCGTTTAAATAAAACGTCCGATATTCGTATAAAGTACTTAGAAACGCTATCCATCTCTAATCCTTTACATGGTGTACTTAAAATTTGAGAAGAAAAGCGGGAGAAAAAAGATTCAAAGTGAACAACGCCAACACAATTGGAGTGGCATCAAAAACATCGAAGTAAATCTGGGTACGTATGATAGTACCATGCCATCCATCCGCCAGCTCTGCTGTACGGTAGAAAGACCTTTAATCGCATCTTCACTATGTGATATGAACTGATAAGGGAAATAAACACATACCGGATAATCACCAAAAAAGTCGCAATGGAAAGACCTATAACCATCAAGTTGACACGCTGTTTAGGCATGGAAAATTCCAACTTTTCGGCCATGAAAGGAGGAATACTTTCGAGTGAAGACCCTCCAGAGACTAAGACAGGAGCATATCTCTTCATGGGCTTTTTAGAACGGAACCGATATATAACCTCGATTGCTAGGGCTGTGAAGAAAAGCAACGCAACTGTCCATAATACGGTAAATATAAGATAGGGCAGGCGCAGTGAAAGGAACTGACTAAGTTGAAAAATTATCCCCACTAAAACGATATCACCCCCAAGTTTGGCTGCCGAGAGTGAATTGCCAGATGCAATACCACCACCAGCAGCCTGTACAACAAGGGAGACAACATCAATTGTGATAAAGATTTTTAGATCTGCGAGTTCTGCAATTAGTGATTTGACAACATCCCTGTAAAAAAAAGATCTCACATGTCTTAGGTTTCAACCGACTGTATTCCTCACCCACAGCCCTTATAATAATAGCGAGAATGTTATACAAGGCGGCTGTAAGAAAGACAGGAGCGATGATCGTTGTAGTGATTCTTAATAAGATGTCAGCCATGACGACAAGACATGACATAGAAAACACAAACTGGATCAGATAAGCATTACGATTGACTGAGTTGATGCTATTCCACAGTCGACCACTCCATCCTATTATTTCTCCGATACCGCAGAGAGCGAGGGTAGGTATAATCCAATACTTCCGGGGCTTAATAAATAAAGCTTGGAATAGATGTATAACTATAGATATTATAATCTTAATGTTACATAACGCAGGTATGTAATAAAGGCTGAGACCTACCGGTGGTCACCCCGAATAATGCAAGGAAAGTGATACAGATCCAGCGCGTAGGTATATAGCCATATAAAGACGTGGGTGTAATGGTGGTAGTATCCGACTGCGTTCCATCTGTGAACAAAAATTCTCGTTTAACAAAACAACGGTGGATTTAAAAAAAGGGATGATGCTGACTTGTCATTATGAAAAAGTTTAAAAATTAAAATGGGTCGGGTGAAGGAAAATGAAGGGGGGGGTAAACGTAGAAATAAAGGTAGATGAGAAATGGAAATGTTGTACTAGTACGAGACCTCCTTTAAGTATCTTTGATTTCGCCAGAAATTTGACAGAAACGACCAGACCACAGGAAATGTTGATGGTTAGCAACCAATTCTGCGGAATGCAATTCGGCAACAACATACTCGAGAAAATCGAGATAAAGCAATGTAGCTTACGCACAGGTTAGCGCAGGGGGGAGGAATATCGGTTATTAAACATGACGGTATTGGCTAATGATAGGGCACCTTTCATTCCGCAAGACAGTAAAGACTTTTAGAAGTTTTGATAATTTTCGTAAGAGGATGCTAATAGGCCATAAGGTAAGCTCAAAAACCCGGAGCGATCATCAAAGTGCAATGGAAATAAAAACGCGGCCACATTTCGAGGGCCATCAAAGAAATTTGTCCATTGCCGCAGACTGTCGTGAGATCCCGCAGCGCTCAGACGAGACGACTCGTTATCAAAAAGAGCCGTCACCCCATGTGGTTGGAAAGTCAATCGTTGACTGGGAGATGAAACTTTTTGAGGAAATTAACGGTGACTTGAAATCACAACTTACCAAAAGAGTAATTAAAAAAATTTGACTTCAAAGCTGGACCTGTATGATCCTGGTCCGGGGTTGCGATTGCTTTCCTAATCATTTGTGTAGAAGGACAGTAAGTAACTATGCTCTGCAATGAGTGCCTTCTGAGACCAATTCGGCCGATATTCCATTCAGAACCTATGAGCTCGAGGCATGCATTGATAATTTGATATACTTTTTGATGGATTTTACATATCAGAACATGCCAATAATCAGTACTGCTTTGAATGCCGTCGTTTGTTCAACAGTCCTACTAGTGTCGAAGCTAGATCCAGTTTGGGAGACACCGCAGTACTTTAGGCTAACAACCGCAGGGACGTTTACTAGTAATGAGGCCATCGCAAACCACGCTGGGTGTTGTTACACGGAATGGCCAGACTGGAAAAACTTTGTCTGATATTATATATCATCCGCCTGCATAGAATTGAATAAAGCACATAGAAAATACCGTATGAAGAACTCTTTCTGTCCGTGCGTTATGTCCGAGTCAACGTCAGCGCTACAACCTACGGTGAACCAAACCAAACCCTTAATTACTATCAAACTGAATGTTTGATCAAAACTTTTAATAAATCGAGATGATTTGTCCTGTATAGAATACCAAAACAAAAAACAGGAGTCACCTTAGGCCCTAGGGGTATTGAACTTAGGAGAGTGACGCGCGACATGTGACGTCTCTTGCACACATGTTTATACCTTGCTTTTGTTCAATTTACCATGCGACTACCACCCCCTCAAGCTCCGGACTGTTTATCAAACGAATTTTCTTATTCTTCTCCTCGATAATATGACAGATGTCTTTGCTGTTAATGCTACAAGCAAGACAACCCAGACCTTTGTAACGTCTCTCGTTACCAACACTATCCTTTTGGGAGTCGAAGTTATCGCCTTTTCGTATCTTAAGGACAACTTAAGTCGGGTATATACGCCCCGCACATATCTACCACCCCCAGAGTAATATCTTTTTTTACTTGCTTCTTTCATTACGCATCTAACAAGGACCCAGGAAACGTGCAGAAGAGCTTCCCCCTGGACGCTGGAGGTGGATCCTATCTGTTGGATTTGCATCATCCACGGATATCGTATGTCTTCAAAAACGTTATCAATTTATTAATATGATCAACATCTTTTAAAAATAGATCAACAAGAATGGCCTTGATGCATATTTATTTCTTCGATTTCTTCGCCTTATGATCATCATCTTCAGCACCTTCACCGTCATCACATGGTCTATTATACTTCCCGTGGATACTGCTAATATTAATTCTCAAGCTGACGGTCTGAATAAACTTAGTTGGGGAAAGTAAGCTTCTTAAATAAGCAATCTCGATGATTATATATTCAACATCATATCCAGTATTCCCAATAGCGAGACCAAGCGATATGCCGCTCACATAGTCATTGTCTACCTCTTAACTTGTGCGTTATCTTGTAATTTATTTGAACCACACTAATTACTTCCCATTTAGTTTTCGTCATTTACTTAATCCGGCTAGAGTTCTTTCATTTTATCGAGATGAGGCAGGCGTATCTTACGTCAACGTCTCAATCTCATTGTCCTCAAGGACGTACTGTATTGGTTACGTCAATTCCACACGATATGTGCACAGAAAAAACCCTCCGAATTTGGGGTGCTTTTATTCCTGGCGGAATTCAGAACATTTGGATATATCGTGACACGAAGGTGAGTGTTTAACCGTACGATTCGTCCTTGATTCTTCTACCCGGCTTTTCTAGGAACTGAACGATGCCTATTTTGCTCGACTAAAGGCTTGTAATGAACTAGAAGATACCCTTTCAAAACTTCTTCGTCAGGCAGCACTAGAAAAAAGCCGGAAAGAAAGGATTTATGCAAAAGAAATGGCGGAACTTCGTGACCATGATGTAGTGCTGAACTTTCCCGAATTCTCATCTCCTCGGCGACCTTCTGCTGGTGAATCAGTACCTGATACTCCGATTTCTTTATCGCGAATAGTCCCCGATATTCTATCATCCAAGTCACATATTTCTACGGACCTCGAGAGAAACGACAGTCCTGTCTCCCAATACGCTTCCGAGAAGGCTCTTTTGGATGAACTTGTGCCACCTTCTAAACGACCGTCTGAACACCGGGGGTTCTTGGGATTATGGGGCCTCAAATTAGATAAGTACGAGTTACTGAAGGTTCATGGCTCTACAGTTCTATATTGGGGCCTTCACACTCATTTTAAGTAGGATGAAATTGCACAGCACAATAACACCATCAAGTTTCTTCGAGCTCATGAACGAGATGATAAACCTCTCGGCAGCGCCTTCATCCAATGCAATCTCCAAATGGGCGCTCATGTTTTGGCACAGTGTTTATCACACCATACTGTAAGTTGCTAATCCGCGTATGCAATGATTACTTCCCTCAGAGTTTTCTAAGCCTTTGAAAATGACTACTAAATGGCTACAAGTCACGCCGAAAGATGTGATTTGGGCTAACATTGACGTAAGGACCTCCGTGCATTCTTTTATGATTATTGATATACCCTTTTTAGGACGGAATATACAAGACTCGGTTTCGGTACTTGACCTCATGGCTTCTCAATATAGGAGTCGTTGTCATCTGGTTTTTTCCCACTACTTTCGTCGGTTTGCTGAGCAACGTAAGCCAACTCTGTACCCACATCAAGTTCGTAAATGTTCTTTTTAATCCGTTCCTCATATGATTTACTTGATTGCAGATGGCTTGCTTGGGTATGCAAAGCACATGCACCTATTCCAGGTATTTTGCAAGGAGTTTTTCCTCCTATCTTATTGGCCATTTCTTTTGCTATCCTACCCTGGATTCTAAGAGGTGATTGGTTGTTATTTTTTTGCTCAACCGAATTTTAACAGATTGAAATCAAGCTTTGGCTTGGTATGAAAATATACCACTTTACTCGCTCTTGTCCATCAGTGTATACAAACGTTATTTTATGTTCCTGGTCATGTAAGC